AGTCCCCCAGCATCCCTGGATGCCTGCGACCTCCCCCGCGAGTTCCCGCCTCACAGGGTGGGCAGGTTAGCCGTGGCCTAAGCTGTCTGCTGTAGCCGAGAAGGGAGGCATGCTCTAACATCTCACATGGCTTCTGGCCTGGGCCACTGCCGGCATGTAGCTGCATTTCTGAAATTACAAGTAAATGTTTGTTCATTTGCTTATGGATTCAATCTATACATTTTAGACTAACCTGCAAAGATTGAATTGATTTAGCCTTGGGTTTTTTGTACTTAGCCATATGGATCCCTGATCTTGATGTGTGGCTCTGTGACACTTCCAGAGATAGTTGCTTTTCTCAAAAAAAGAGTGAGTAGATCTTTTCAATTTGAGGGTCTCAGGAGAACGATTCAGTCCTCAGTATTATTTAGCTTAGTTATTACAATGCAATTTATTTGTTCCATTTTTGCTAGTTATTAAAATAAGTAATTGAATTACTAAGAGGAAATCAAACAATTTATATTAAATGTGAACCGCTAAGCCATTCATTATGGGTAAAAATTATATTACCATTCATCAGAACTTTAATAGCATGTTGTAGTTCACTTGTATGTCCTGACATGGACAGACTAGTCCTGACAATTGTCTTTGATGGTAGTTAAGGGAGACAGAGTGAAACAGCACACAGTCTAGGAACGATACCAATTCTTTTAATGTTATTACTGAATAACATAAGAAGTATCAGCACATGACAAGTTATTCAATGTGCATATGAATAAATGATTTCTGGATATGATGAACTCAGGCTAAAGTGTGATCATGTGCACATGTGCAAACACACGTGCACACACAGATGGGAAGCCACATTTTTTAAATCTGCCATGAGATTATTTTACAGATGCATACACACAGAAAAATCTCAATAATTATAAAATGAGAAATATAGTCATGAAGCCAAATGGTGCAACTCCCATTACCTTAAGTCAAGGTTGAATTTGGTCCATGAAATTTACAAGAATGTAGAAAAGATTACTAGGCATTGACAAATCATTTTTGCAATTTTGGTGTTTTTGATGTAGGTCAAATATGGTAGATTAGTTTGTCTTTTTTCTTATTCAGACAGAGGTATGACTAGGTTCTAGAATATTTAAAGAGAAAAGCATACATGTCAGTAAAGATTATATAATACATAGAGCCCTTATTTTTTATACAGTGTCATATCTGTGACTGAGCTGAATGTAAACTGCAGAGAGGTCAAGAGAAGAGCATTGTCAGAGTGCATACTGTAGGAACATATGTTGCAGGTTTAGCTGGCAGTACGCTCAAGGGCACAAGAGCAGAAGAATGATATTTCAGAATGTTTCAAGTGCAGGTAAGAGGGGAGGAGAGTCTTCCTGATATGAAGCAGTACTATATCATTTCTTTTCTGAGATCCTGAATTGATTAATTTGCTAGCAGTGCAAAAAAAAAAGGATTTGAAACAGAGCACTACTTAAGAAAATACTTGAAAATCATCTCCATTTTGGTGCAGTCTGGTAGATGCTGAGGCAGCCCCTCCCTCCCACTTCTCTCCAGAAATATTTTTATGGTGCATTGATACAACATCCTCAGTAGGGATCATTTAACAGTATCCAGAGAAGGAGATTAATTTTAGCAGAGGAAAGAAAATCCCTCTTCAGTCTCTAAATTCAATTTTGGCTAAATTGTAGCATTAACTAATAGCTCTGCATAAGAGAGGTGCAGAGCTGTGCCAGCCCCAGGGAGCACAGTAATGGGAAGCTTAGCTACTGTGCGACTCCAAACTCAGTCTGTCCAACTGACCTTGTATGTGGGCAGGATGAGATGTACTTCACACCCTTGCTTCACCTCCAGCTTGTCTTGACTCAGCAGCCCTGAGAAGATGTACTCCCAGAATTTAATCAATCAACAACCATTGATTTAATGGTCAAAGATTAGGCTGTCTGTGCGAGTATTCTCACTGTGCTTGACCTACGCATAGGGGGCTCTACTTACATGCTTTAGCTTTCCTTCCCTTTACTTTCCCCAGCAGAAATTGGGTACAAGCTGTGCCTTATGCACGTGCATGTGTCTGCCTTTCTTTCTGTTATACATGGAGGATCATTCTTTGTAACAAGAAAAATACTTTGTGTCTAAACTTGCCTGTCTTGTGTGTTTTTAGAGAGTGGATGGGGAAAAGGGGCAGGTTCTGCATCATATATGCAAAATTCCAACTGGTTCTCAGAATACTCCAGTGCTGGGGCAGGGGGATTCTTTGTAAGGAAAATAAAATATACTCTTGTTTTAATTTGGTCAAATAATAGTTAACTCAGAAAATTACAGCAGAGATATTTCCAAGGCACAGCAGATGTGCTGCAGCAAGCAAAGATGCTAGCTGAATTTTTTTTTAAGTTATAAGTGAGTATTTATTTTTAAGCGTTCTGTTTTGTTGCCATTTGAATTCAACTCATTTAATCAGCTTTACATAAAAATTTAAATGTGGTTGGTTATAATTTTTAAAATAAGAAAGTGCTAGTCCTGGTCTGATCCATAACATAAAGGGGCACAAAGGGAGGGGCAGTATTAGAATCCTACCAGTATTATATCCTATGAAAACAATGACCACATTCTCCCTGGGTGTATCTACACATGCAATTAGTGAGATGCAATAAACTCCGCTGCAGTTTGCACTGGAGTTAGCTGTTCTCAGGAACAGCATTTTCACAAGTGCCTGAGACTGCAGCATTTAGAGCTGAGATGCAGCATCCCTGGGCTGGCAGGTAGCCTGGGGGAGACAGTCCTTCACTCCAGGTTGGGCAGTGGAAGGGCTGGCTGGGGGTAAAAGGGTGCTAAAGTGCAGGGGTGGGCAGTAGGCAGCCCCTGAACTTTAGCACCTTCACCACCATCTACATGAGCATTTCGGTGGAGTTAATTAATAGGCCTGTGCGAATAGGGAAGTATTCGAGTTGGATTCAGATTCAGCCAATTCACAGACAGTGATTCGATTGGGAGATTCCGATCACTGCCCCGAATTGAATCAGCCATATTGGCTTCAGAAGTTTCAGCGCTGATTCAGAGAGATTCGGTGATTTGGCCACAGACTATAATGGGGAATCACTGAAATACCTATAACTTTGTCATTTTTGGACAGATTTGGATAAAAACAGCAGGGATGGTTGCCCCTTCTGAGGGCAGAAGCCTGCCATGTTTCAAGGAGATAGGTGCAGGGGTTTCTGGGAAACTGCACCTCAAGCTTCTGAAAGCAAAACTCGTGACTTTGTGTGTGTGTTAAGGCACAGTGGGATGAAAACAGCAGGGATGTTAGCCTGTAATAGGGCACCTTCCCAGTGCTGGTTAGATCTGTCTGCCCACCTGTTTCTGGGCTAGCTACCTGCCCCTCTTTTGCTCAGGCAGAAACAGCTCACAAAAAGCACAGAATGCCTGCAGACAGAGGCTTATATGCTGTTTTTACATCCCTCCCCCAGAGCACTTCGATTGGAAGGGGACTCAGGGAAAGATTATAGTCGCTGGCCAACTACAGATGTCAGTCTTTCCCCCCCGGTCCCCTCCCTCTTCTCAGTTTCTGTTCCCCTGCAAGACTGCCTTCTGAATCGCCGAATCTCTGAATCTTTTTCCAAATTTTTTCTGAATCTATTAGGATTTTTTTTTGTCTCCCAATTTGATTTGGATTCAGTGATTTGGCCTCTGAATCAGGCCAAAACTTCTCTGAATCAAATCGGCGACCAAAGCTTCACACACCCCTATTAATTAATCTATTGTTCCTTAAAACATCAAACTTTATAATATATTATAGAATGATACTAAAAAATGTTCCTCTGTTACCAGCAGTGACTATTGCTTTAGAGAAAGGTTTTAACCTTCTCAGTGTTTATTTGGCTCAGTATACTGCAGACATTATTAGTCTATCACAATAGGACTTTCTGGGTCTGGGCAGAGTCTAGCCATAGTTCCTAGCTCACAATCTTCTTTAAGTCTTCCTAGGGTTTTTCTATACCTTGAAACCAGTGCCACAGATTTCCCATGCCCCTTAGCCATCACTTTGTAGAAACTAGATTTCTAGTCCAGCACATTTGGAAACAATATATCAGAAAAGCGAAGAACACGGACTTGGAATAGGAATTTCTTAAACATAATCACTTCTCTCTTAAATATATTTGAAAGTCCTAGATCTTTGAAAACAATGGTGATTGTGGCATGTGGAAGTGCTTAGCCCTCTCTTAAATAGCATCTCTCCTCAGTGCAGGGGCGACATGTAGGGTATGCACATGGGTGCACGTGCACCCCCTGATCGTGGCAGTACACCCCCTACAAAATGGCGCAGCATGTGCAGGAGGTCTGTGATCACTGCTGGCCACCACTGACGCTGCTGGCAGCATCTGCAGGTGTTTGCTGACCCCTGGTTGATGCTCGCCACTGCTCCCCTCCCCCCCCGCTGCTGACAGTGGTGTCTGCAGGTGGTTGCTGACCCACGGTTGGTGCTCCCCCCCGCCCCCCCCCCCCCCCCCCCGTGCCACCCCGGCCTTAGGAGCTCCTGCTTACTGTGACTGTGCTCTCACCGCCGCCATGCCCCCCAGCCTCCAGGGGCATGCATCATTCATGCCTCAGGGCACTCCTGGGATTCTTAAGCCTTGTTCTTCTTCCACGATCATGTTTTTAGCATCCACATAGTAATTGTTAACTCAAAATTATTGTTTTGATGATTTCTCTATAGTAGTCCTTTAGCGAGGTACTGTATGCCTTTCCTGTGCATTGTCACTGTCTAGAATGTAATGGTACAAACTTTGTATCAACATTTGATATACAGACATAATTCATCCCAGCATAGTCATTAAGGAATAATCTAACCAGACAGGAAATATTTTGTTAATCTCAGATGATTAGCAATTGTCCTGAAATAAGGCTTTTTAAACATTTTTTTAATAGACAAGAGAGAATCGTATTGAAAGAAAGTGGAATGAAATAAAGATCTGTCTCACTGTTTCTTATTTTCTATGCAATTGTAGGCATGCAGGAGGCCTCTAAGAAACTTACTGAGTCCCTTCATGAAGTATATGAGCCAGAGTGGTATGGCCGGGAAGATGTGAAAATGATCGGAGAGGTAAGAATATGGAAAGAAAGGAAACGTCAGGGTACAAGGCATCTTATATGCACATTTTCATGTTTATATGCACTTTGTTTCTTCAGTCAAATGTTCTGTATCACTAGATATGGTAATCCCTTAGGCTAGGGACAGAAATTACACATAAACTGGCATAACTGGTAGAAAATTGGTTCAAATCTGGAAGACAACAGAAGTTCAGTGCACGTAAACCACTTTGAAAATGGCTGAAAATGGTTTAAGATAAACCTGGATGGATGTAGTATCAGACTTAACTGATTAGGTTAAATTGGTTTATGGAACTTCTGTTCCAGATCCTCTCTAGATTCAAGTCAACTCAGAGTCCTCCAGCATCCCAAACACCCCATTGCAGGGTGGGCAGGCCAGCTGAGCAGGGAGGCATGCTGTAACACCCCTGGCTTTTGGCCTGGGCCACTGCAAGCATGTAGCTGCATTTCCAGAATCAAAAGTGAATGTCTGTTCATTTGCTTATGGATTCAATCTACACAGCTTAGACTAACCTGCAAAGATTAAATTGATTCAGCCTTGGGCTTTTTGACTGTCTATACTTTGCCATAGTGTTTTATTATAATTGTAGGGCCAGCTATAATAGAAAGAATATGTGAAGGCATACAAATTCTTCTTTAACTAGAAACAAATCTTTTGTACATTGATGGAAGTCTGGAATAACTTCACAGTCTTCAGTAGAGTGGAACATGATCTTTTATATTTCGGCTTTTTCTTATAGGGTGGTTTTTATTCTGTTTCAGTCTTTAGAGTGTAATAAATAGCAGGGACCAAATTTAGATCTAGTGTAAATAAGATAAAATCCTATGGATGTCTCTGGGCAGATTTATTACTGATGAAAACAGGGTGTAACTTTTTACTGATGCAGCTTGTACTTATCTGGCATTCAGTGTGGGAGGAATAGCAGGAAAAGCAAATAAAAGGAGCCTGTAAGATATAGCACCCTAATCAGATGTCCTTGTTGATTGCTTTTCCTGCAGTTCTCTTTCCCTCCTTCCTCTCTGCAAATGGTAACTTACATGTGCTGAATGCCAAATCAGTGTAACTGACTGCTTTACCACCTATGCCCACTAAATTTGTTGTTTGGACTTACATCCCAATGGAGTAATTCCTCTTGCATCAGATTTAGATTGATATAAATGATAATGGCCAAAATCTGAGAACAGTCTTTGCTTTCTATTCCACATTTGGAAAATCTTACATGTTACCACTTTTATGAATATTGTTTCAAGCAGAGTAATATGTGAAACGTTTGTGCCATGTAGCCATTTTCATTGTAATCTGAACTTTAGATGTCATGTCATATATTTATGAATAGCTGAAAGTATAGTTCACAAGAATGAGAAGTTCACCATATTTACTCGTATATAAGATATGACCCACCATAATTAGGTTCTTTATATAGAAAATATATAAATGTGTTAAAGATGTCCAGATATAGAATCTAATTATTGGAGGTTTGTCTTCAATTTGTTGCCTTCTCACTTCTAGAGCAGGGAAACTATCTGGGGGTTAGGTGATCCCCATGCCCTCTGCCCTCCCAACTTCTTCCCCCTGCAGCCCTTTTCTGCTCTCCTCCTCCCCCCTTACTGTCAGACTCTGCTCTCACTGAGGACATGAAAGTGAGGAGCAATTGAAAACACTGACTTTGAAAAACATGCCCGTAGTAATTTGCATATAGGCTTAATTCATCCAAAATTGATTTGTTATTACCTTTTGTTGAAACTGCTGCAAATTTTAGCACAGGTAGTCCATAAACATACTTTTAAGGAGAACTTTTCTACCTACTTATGCATAGTACAAACTTTTGTTTTGCAGAAACAATAAAAAATTATAATAAAAAAAATGTGTGTGTGTGTGTGTGTGTGTGTGTAATGTCAAGTGACGACTGTGGTTCACTTGGCAGACCAAAGGATACTTTGACAGTTGTTACCAAATTTGCCCGTTACTTTGGGGTGTGCTCATTTATTAGGGATAGTTTCTAGGGTCTTGGTGATTCTGTCAATGTGCTGCTTGTGTTACTATATGGAGCTATATCTCTCCCTTCTGCAAGCCCTCACCCCCAATGGAGCTATCTTGCAGGACTCAGTCTCAATGGGACTGGCTTCCTCCAGTCACCAAATCAGTCATACACACAAACACACACAAATTAACGTGACACGCCTGACCTGGCTGGGCTGATCAGCATGGACAGGCTGACACCCTCATATGCCAAGAATCAGTTCATAAGAGCAACAATAAAATGCAGTCAAACACAAGCACACAGGTAAACAGAATCCCTCTGAATCCGGCTGGGTGTCCAGCTGACACCCTCATGGGCCAGCATTCAGTTCATAAGGGCACGTCTGAGTCAAACTGGGTCAATCAGCCTGTACAAGCTGATCCCCTTATGTGTTTCAAACTCAGCACGTCCCAATCTTTGACCTCTTGATGAGCAGACCCCACAATATTTTTGGGCTTCACAGGGATCTTTAGCTTAGGTAAAATAAGTGTTGCTGCAGAGCACGGGAGGAAAGAGAAGCAGAGAAGGAAAAATATACCCAATTACTACCAGTTTGACTATAAAAGTTATTTATTGCTAAGCATATGAAATATATAATAGTACTAGTAGTAATAGACATGCAAAAGAAAAACAAACACCAACAATGACAATACTACCCTGGTTTCACTAAGTATTTGGGGAAACTTAGCTCAAGCTTAACTGATACAGTTCAGGTTCAGAAGTTTATGCCTAGAAAGAAGACAGAGAACGCTGGGATCTCACCTAGTCCACGGTACTCAGGCTGCAAAGCTGACAGGCACAGTCCATAGCACAATCCTTGAAGAGAGAGATGATCTGTTCTTCCAGCGTCCCAAGAACGACAGGGGATGGTGTCAGCACAGGGGTTTTCTTCTTCTCCTTCTTTCCTCCTGCTTATACTTCTTTTCCTTCCTTTTCCTCTTCCTCTTCTCCCTCTAGCAGCACACACACTTACAGATTTTTATACCCTCAGTTCAGCTGCTTCGAAGCACCCTCAGTAGTGTAAATCATTGTCTTTTCTATTGACAAGGGGTTATCTGGTTTGGACCATCTCAGGAAACTGATTGATAATCAGGAAACACTTAAGATTAGGGAGTAACCCAAATACTTGGGAGCCAGCTTGAAATTCCTATGGGTGGCAGATATACTGATGGGATATCTCATGGTTTCTTCAGGAACAATAGATAGCTTGCAGCATCAGGATTTTGGATTTTTACTTGTTGTGCACAAGCCTCAGCTTAGCATGACTTTTCCAGATCTTACTATAGTCTTTTAACAGACTTAAAGCAATTATTGGGGTGTTCATAACCTTTTGTGGAGAGGACTCCCACCAGTCATCTCGGGAAAAGTATGACAACACCTGTGATTAGGGCTCCAGCAGGCTGGATGCTGTGATGAACCCTTAACCATTGTTCAAATGTTGCCCATACCCCCTCTGACTCAGTCTCTTGCCTCAGCATTCCCTAACCCAGCAACTGAGTTTTAGTCAATCAAGTTTAAATAGGCCTCCCATAGTGGGACCGGGGAATGTACGGCTCGAGATGCCTATTAAACTTAGAGGTGTGTGTGTGTCTGGTGGGGGGAAAAGTCCTTAGTAAATCCAGATTAGAACTGGTCTGATAAATGCTGAGCTGGGTGTGTGTGAACATGGGTTGATTAACATTTGGAGCACAGATTCCCCATCATGCAGTGCTCCCCTGCTTCTCTGGTCCCAGAATTCACTGCAGTCACTGCTTCAGGCTTTCTGTTCTCCATCTCTCATGTAAATGAATGGTCATCTGGTTCCATCTCGGATGTAAATGAGACCTAGGGTGTCATTACCTAGGGTAAAGGGTGACCTTGTCACCCTTATCTGGAGGGTCTTAGGTGTTTCTCTCACTGCATCTTAATCAAGGGGTGAGTCCTTTGTGAGTCAGACAGACTGCATCCTGTGCCAGGGTTGCCCAAGAACATACAGCTGAGACGTAACACAGTTAAACTATTTTAATCCCATTACACAGTTTGCACCCGCGCATCCATGTTTCCCTCACCATTCCAGTGCTTTCACTTTTTGTTCTCTCCAGAGGAATTGCATCTGAAAAATCTATGCTAGTCCCCTCCCCACCATATGAGATCTGCCATTTCTTTCCTATTGTCCTCCTTTGTCTTTTTGTAGTACCAGTACATTTCACTCAGCCCCATTTTAATACAATCCTTGACTGGGTCCTGAGTGTCTGTTTATGAGCAGGTTCCTGGCTTTCCACAGGGAATATCTGAAGCAGGAGATGAACTGGTTAGAGCAAGCTGTCGGGGCCCCTTATTGTTTGGTCAAGTGCTCATAGAGGATCACTTCTCTGGTCAGCTTTCTGAAATCTGTCACCACCAGGAGTGCACAGACTTTCTTCCACACCTATTTGGCATATAGGAAGTCCCAGAAGAGGTGGTTGATTGTTTCTGCCAGCCAGTGGCAGGTCTGTCTCAGGCAGTTCGATGGACCTCTCTGCCTTACACTCTTTTTCCATGTCCATACGGGGAGTGCCCTATGGGCTGCCTGCCAGTTTAGGTCTCTATGCTCCTTCTGCAGGTCCTTGTGGAAGATTTGCTCCCACATGGCCTGGTAGCTGTCACCAGGTAGAAAATCTGCAGGTGATGTGGCATCTCTTGCCCTTACCACCTCTGGTATCTTGCAGTTGTTCAATAGGGTTGCTAGGGTAGCATCGTGCAGCTTGTATTTCTTCTAGAAGCTTTTCAGGAACTCATAGAACCATGGGGACACCATGGTCCATGGGCTCCCATTGATTGTTCTGTAGACCTGCTACCTTCACAGCAGCTGCCCTGAAAAATACTTTGCAAAGCTGGCTGTTTTGGATTACACCCGTGTTGCCAGTTTGCAAACCTGGCTCATGTACTTGGTCCAGAGGAAGAAAAGGACATCTGGCATTCCTCTGCCTCTAGACCATTTCACTTCATACAGCTTGGTCCTTACCACTTTCTCCCATGTGGAGTTCCAAAAAACCCTACACATGGCTCTTTGGATTCTGTGAACGACTTGTTCTGAGGGGGCAAAGACTACGGTGGTATGTAGAAATATCGGCCGTAGCACCACCGTCATCAGTGCCATGCACCTCCCATTGACAGGCAGCACAATTGCCATAGCCCCAGTTTCTGTCTGACCTTGGCCTCCATCTTTTCCCATGCCCTCTGCCTCGTCAGCTCTGGGTCAAACTCCATCCTGAGGATTTTTACCCCCTTGCAGGGGATGAAAACCCCCGGGTGCGACACATCCCTGAGCTTACCCAGGACTAGGCAGGTGCTTTTGCTCACATTGAGTTTGGCCCCTGCTGTTGCTCCATATACCTGGGTGTGTTGTAGTATTCTTTCCACTGACCCCTTATCTCTGCATAAGATGTTCAACTATGCATGATATCAGTCCAAATCCAAAAGGCTCGTGATTTATCATATAGTTCATTGGACTGGGCCCCAGCAGAGTCCACAGTGTTTCAGTTAATTGCTCACTCTGTATGTGTACTCCATATACTCCCCCACAAAGGATCCATGTCCTAATTAGCCCCTCCCCCGACTGGAACAAGGTGTTCTGTCACAAGTCCTGGGCTCTTCCAAAAATTTATAAGGAGATGAGGTGCAGGGCAACCTTGTCTAGCTCCACCTCATGGATTGTGGGGCCACACTAATCATACACAACAGGCTGAAAGAGAGGGCAACAGAGGGATTCTGGGTGAACTATTTGGTGGGGGCATTTGCTGATGTTTGCCAGACATTTAAGGCTGATGAAGAAACAAGAATAATTGGAAATGGGAAAGAAAGGAACAGTTCAGCTGTGGGAGTGAAGAAGAAGTTGAAAATATGTTCATTGTAGTGGCTTACCATGACTTGGAAAAGAGTCAGCACTGAGCAGGGACTGAGTGCAGTGGGTGTTACATGTATCTTATTCAAATGGGCTGCAGTAATCTATTCTTGTTTTAGGTTCCCATCAGCATCTGGGCCTCTTGTGGGCTAAGATCAAGTAGGTGAATTTAAATGGCATTGTGTAGTGGAGGGTGCACCCCCGTCTGATGCACTGTGGACAGGACACCCTATGAGTCTTGTAATTAGCTTCCCACTGGCCAGCTTCCAGTGGGAGGATCTTGGCTACATGCCTGCTTTATGGAAATGGGGGACTCCTCCCTAGCTTCCTCCTGTGGCCTTTGGTTAAGGGCAAGTGAGGCTTGGACAAATCCAAGCCATAAGCCTCTGGGCTTGGGCTTGGATATAGGATGCCTGCCAATGGATTTGGGGGTATCTGAAGCCCCAGTCTGAAAATTCTGGGGTGGAGGATACTTACCAGTTGTAGCACCACATATAGTGTTTGAACAATTGAGTGTTGCTCATTGAGAGGATTCAGAACTGATTTGCCTCATTTGACCTGGAATATGTAAAATTTG